AAATTTGTATTGTCAAGTTTCCTTTTTTGCGGTGGAGGTGAGTGTTCTTTATCGGCTTTATTGATCCATCGTTGAACAATTTCGTTTTCAAAATTGTTCACTAGCAGTAAAAGAGAATGCTTGCTTTAGTGGCGGAGAAACTTCACGAGTACATTTTTTAACTCTTATTGTTGTAATAGTTGATAGTTGCACGACTTGAGTCTTGCCCAACAACAGATGAATATAACCTAGTTCTTTTGAAAATCGCAACTGGCCTAGCCTGTTTAGAAAAAGCATTAAAAAACACTTTCGTACAGTACAGTTTAGCTGACCGTACAATACAGTTTTTATATACAGGCCCGTAAATACAGGTTAGGACTGACTTCGATAATTGCTCCTCTAACCAATTAAAAATATTTTCATGAGCCGACTTTTGACGGAGACATTAACATAATACAAATTATCATGTAATGAGTCGCGTAAAAGAAAGTCGAGAAATATTTAACGGGCAAACACTATGAAGTGATTTTAAGGTTGACCCTAAAGTTTCTTTAATATTTTGTTTAAGAACGCCGGATCGTAACCAAGTAGAAAGTCGTTTGTTTTTTTAGCCATAAAGAGGATTGAGATCAATAAGTAAATTGACTTTTATAAAAGTTTAAACGCGACGGTAATAGATATAAAGAACTAGATATTACACAATAACTTCTGATCACTATCACTATGGTGCAACAAGATTACCATCAAAACTAATTACCCCAAGAGCACCCAGAAAAAATTCTTCGATCACATATCATCTCGTATTTATAAGGCATTACTCCCGTTAATGTTCGTACCTTTTCAAATAATTCGAATTCCAATGGTGTATACGTTCGTTAAAAAATATATTGTTAAGCCATTTCATTAATATAAGCTGTGAATCTCGTTTATCACGATTACCGGCTTTAAGCCCTTTTCATTCTTCTGGTGTGCCATCTTTATTAATAAAACAAATTGGAACATGATGTCCATTACAATTATATCCGATAATTTGTGTTGCTTTTTACCTTCTCCTACGGCTAAATATGACTGTGGTGTCGGAGACTCGAAACTAGATAAATTGAATGGTTCAATTAAATCCTCGCATATCTCCGGAGTTGTTTTATCGTTATCTGATCCGGTTATGTCACCACCAGCGATTACCATTAATAATTTTTGCTTGTCAGAATAATCCGTACTGGTCAATGAATCAAGTGTTGTGTGCATTGAATGTTCACCTTCCGAATAACACGTGACTAATAACAAAAGGTGTGATGTCGTATCATCTTCTTCGATATTTTATCAAGCTGCAATGATAGAAACCAATCAAATGCTATAGCGGAAATGAACTTGATTAAAGAATTCCTGTGAACACGACTGTCATTATACTATTCGCGAAACATCCGATGGTTGTTCCTTCAACGTCTCCTGAATTGAAATTAGGTAAACGTTTGATATCTCCTTGTGTGAAGAATCTCTCTTGTTGCATCTTTACCGAGGAGACCTCGAAGCCATTCTGTAACGCTATCATCTCCAAGCAACTTATCCTCATTTGAAGGATCAAGATAGTTTCCTAAATCATATACCTTATTACTATAAACAAATAAGGTGGTGTTAGCTTTGGTTATCTTTTGCCATGAATAAGTAACGCTTATTTTCACATCTAGTTCCTTTAATCTGTGGAAGTATGACAATATAATAATGGATTTTACGTTTCAATCGCCATATCGCAAATGGTCCATCATTTAGGGGCAAAAGGACATTGGTAGCCTAGAGGAAAATAATCCGAAATATCTTGTCCAAACGTTGGAAATATTATTGGTTCTAAATTTTTATCTTCGATAGGAGGCGTTAACGGACGATGACTACCAAAAGTCCAGTATTATAGAGTTTGCCATGAATAATATGCACTTTTGACCCGATTCCAAATTTTTCAAATACATCTTCCTTAAAAACTCTTGGCTCCTTGTTCCACAAGCGATGGTTGCCAAACCGAATGCCAAAATCTCATGAATGATGAAATTAATAATATAATAACCACCAAAGCCACTTTTTCACGCCAAGCTTGACGCACATAGGGATCTTTCATCTTACCAATGGTGAAAAGGCAAGGATTACAATAACATACCAAAACTGCCAATGAAAATAATACCAAAGGATTTTACTAGTTTTACTCTCTTTCGGTGCCATGTCATTTTTTAAATGTGGTGCTGTCTCATCACCTTTACTTTCCTCTTCTATGTTATCATAATTGTTGCCTCCGTCATCATCGTTGACACCATCATCATCATTATCAAGGTCCTTCA